TTCAGACTCCGCCGTGTTCATCGATGTGGAGATGTGCTTCGTCTACGTACGAGCGCCGATCAACGGCTCGAATAGCGAAAACAACCTACCACCTAAGCAATCTAATGTAAATTCGAGCATGCGCGGATAAGAAGCATGACTAGTCGATCCGCAGCCGATCTGATCGCCGATGTCTGATCGGTTATCGGATGACGGGCGCGACGACGGCGACAACAACAGCGGCTGCTATAGCTGAGGTCTCAGTGAGTCTCGACTCTACACGCGGGTTGATTCGCTAACCGTTTGCCAGTTACTAGCATTGGGGCCGGCCATGATAGAGCAGGATACATGCAGGTTTAACGCAACCTGCTTCTTCTCTGCGGTAGAGGCTCTCGCGAATACTTGCGAATATGTGGGTCGATATGCGACTGCGTATATCTGTGTCTGTGTACGTTGGGATGGGTGAGTTTATGTGCTGCGCTCGTGTATGTTAACCCAGATGGGGCTAAGGGCATCGTAAATGACGAGGTATAGGCCAGAAAAGCAACCCCGCTATTCCGAACACCCTGTTCTGGTTGAACTGAGATCGAAGATCGAGCTTAGTCGACGGGATGGCCAACACGCAGTCGAGTGCTGTTGTGCAGAGGGGCGCTCAATTTCAAAAGGCGGCTTGTACGCATAGGGAGGGCGAGATCTATGTGGCCTAGATGGTCCTGTAGACGATAGCTTGAACAGAAGGCTTGAAAGAAAGCCGAGAGTTGCTGCGGGGCTATCAGAGTGAGATCTGATGGAAACGGCTATTGCTGGCGGAAGCGGATGTTCGAAGGCGGCCCTCGAATCCGCAGATCCGAAGAGCTGTAAAAGTCTGGGGACTGAGCAGGTACCTTCAGATACTAGTACATAGAGGCAAACGCGGAGGTAGAGAGCGAAAGCTAAATAGGAACGGAGAGGGCAAATGAGAAAACGAAACAATCCGGGGCCAAGGGAACCGCCGCATTCCATTGCGCACAATCGAACAGTTGTCAATACCGACGATTTAAGATGTATCGGCTTGAAAAACCATCAAATCTATATGAAAAATGTTTCGGCTTATTCAGCTGAAACATATTTAGTAAAGGACTTTCCAAGATATTATTTTTTTTCAATGTCAGTAATGTAAAAGGCACCTGTAGAAGTGTTCGAGTCTATCGAGGCGTAATAGGTACACTCAAGCACTTCGTACCCTCAGCATGGAAGAAAGAAGTCGAGGCGTTGATATAACTGCTATCAGTATTCACGCCGCAGATCTTTCGGTCCGTCTAGAAATACCATATCTGTATATGGCACGCTATAAAATAAACATTTTATACTTCAAGGCGAAAATTAAATTTGAAGAAGCCAAAAGTACTACAAGTGGGTTTGCATAACAGCATGCCCCTACGACCTATAGGAGCTAAGCTTGAATAAACTGCAAGCAGATGATGGGTGTTATAATTTTGCGTTGCAAAAATAGGATAGCGTATGGTAATGTCGGGCCTTTGAAAGGTTAAACGTGAATATTTCAATTAGCAGTCGAGTAATATTCTATCAACTTGCCTCTATAGGATCGAAGGAATAATACCTGCTTGGCCTTATATAGTTCTTTATAGCCCTGAGAACACCGCACGCATTGGGGACTAGCTCTTTCTATGTCAGCTCTAATCGATAATGTCCTGAAAAATTATTACTGTCGATGCATAGCAAGGTACCTGATACGCAATCCCACACATTGAGATGGGGGTTTACGTGTCGGGTCCTCACGCAAAAACCGCTTCCTGAACGTGTACAGGAAGGTATTAGATCACAGCAAAATTCATACAAGCGTGATACATTACCGGATGATTCGTAAATATCCCATGTATCGTTCCGGAAATACAGGACTTCGGAAATATTGCTCGATTGGCATTTTATATTGCCAAGTGTATAACTTCTCGTTAGTTTTTCCATGCGTTTTTGAAAAATCCATTACTATGAACGTTATTTATGATAAATTGCGATTGAGAAAAACGAAAAGAAAAACACAAGAGTCTAAACGAATATCTAAATCTGTACGCTATTGTTCCGTTCTGCCGGTAGTTGGCTTGTATTCCCCAATTACAATTACACAAGGCCCTGAACTGACCATATTGTATGTGAATGCCGCTTAAAAACGTATAATTATAGGTATATAACAAAAAGTATATATACTTAAGTCACAACGTACAGGGGACGGTATCGCTACCATCCGCCCGGAAGCCGTTCTAAGCAGCTCAAGGTCGGCTTACCGAGTGCAGGCTGCCAAACTTTGGAGCTTTGCGAATGTCGCCATGTCCGACTGGGTCATAGCCTCATGTTGATGGGCCGGGGGATCAGGCCGTCGAACAAGGACCAATTACTGGAAATTTGTGTCGTTTGACCGATTGCAAATAGCTGCTTCACGTTTTACTGTCGTTAGGCATTAATTTAGACGGTCCGACGGTCCTACCTAAAATAGAATTTAACGTGCCACCGGTGACGTGTTCAGAGTTTCTAATCTCACATGAATCGTCGAATAAGCTATTTGATATTTAGCTATGTTAACTCTAAAGAAGAATTTGTCAATATATTGAATTATTTAATGTCAAATCAATACTTTTCTCTACTTAGAATCCTGTCAAATGCGCCATTGCCGGATTTCGCTACTCCTATTAACGTTTGTCACCTGTAATTTCAAAGAATTTGCCCTATACCAGATTTCCGTTGAACAAATTGTTTCCACTTTCTGGACAACGTGACGGAAAGATACGAGCACTCACAGGCAGGCTTTCCATGCGAGACCGGCAGCTTTGAGTTGCAGTAAATTCGTATAATTGGAAAAAGTGTCCCCGTCACATCTAATATGGGTGAGCAGATGTGGCCGGGTTGAACCCGGGCAGAATAGCAGGTCACCGCCATTACTATTTGTAGGTCAGCCGATCCACTTCCTGCTATCGGTACGTGCGTATTTCTCCAGTGGCGTTCGCTCTGATGTTCTGCTGCTTTTTCATTTGCACTGTACGAGAGCGAGGTTATCGATGACTCTTCGACGGTTGGCTAACTCGCGGTCACGGCGGCAGCTACGAGTACGAGGTTGATCGAGTACGCGCTTCACTGCTGGACTGGGCCTGACAAGAAACTTCCGCGAATTGAACTGCATCTCAATCACTCCATCCGTCGAACGCTAGGACCGGTGTCGAACTGTCGCGTATCAGTGCTTTGATGCTTGTTTGTATGTTGTACGAGACGCATTGGGGGGTTGTTGTAGGGGTGAGCGTGAATCATGCGAGGGCACGGGCGAGACAGGGGGCGAATCGGACTTCGCCACACCGTGCGGATGAAGGGAACTCGTGTGCAAGGAGTCAGCTTCAATGTCGAGGTCATGGCCCATGCACAGCCGGAATGCCATTTGTATCTCGAGGCTACGCTGTCTCATACTAGGCTCAGTTAAGATGAAGTGCCCAGCGAGCAGCGGCCGCAGAAGTCACAAGTGCCAAGTCAAGCATGGCCGACTTGTGACGCGCTGGGCTTTCTCGGGGCCCTCAATGTATCGAAGGCTAGACAGGGGCATGGAGGTAAATCGAACCTAGTTGGGCAACTGCATTGTCGTTTTCCGGCCGATCAAAATGCATAACATGTGTACTTCTTTCTACTCAATACTTTATAGGACCAATTACTAGAGAATAGTTGTGTCGGGCGGTTTTGGCCAACGGCTGGCTGATAATAATTAATAACGATAATTAAATCGTGATTAAGTTTTTGTTCGAACCTCGAAGTAGTATTTGTATTCTGTTCTTAGCAGTTCAATGGCTTTCGGTCTTCTGGTTAGTCTTGCGATTCGTACGCATCGCTAAAGGCCACAATATTTTTGTCAGTTTCCTAATTTCGGTATCTAACTCGGACCGTTTGCCTTCAAAGTCTTCGAATGAGTAATCCCTTTCGCGAATTCAGTCGGGTTAGAATTTAGAGAGAAAGCCCGCTACTGTTCGACGAGACCACATTTGGTACGAAAAATTAACACAAGTTCTCAGTGTAGCTTTATATTCCGTTGCTCTTTTCTGTTATCTACTTTACGGTAAGATTAATCTTTGAAAAGGCCAAATAACACGTATCGTTTGAAGGCGAATTATCTTACCTCTCTTTTCACCCACGTCTATGGCGTCAACGTATTATATTTGATCACTGAACGCCGAAGTTATAATCAATTTCACACACGAAGTGGAATGTTTTTTCTTTTTTTGTACACAGATCCTATCGTGTCTTTCGTCTATATACGGAACTTGTCGCGTCAAAATTAACATTTCTTCAAATGGCTACCGTTTTTATAACTAAACACATACATTCAGTGGGGTTCCAACGACCCAAAGTTCGAAAAAATTCAGTTAATCAAGTTCACTACTGGTAATAGGTCCAGTTCTAAAAGTTTTTTCATCGAATTATGTACGTAGTGATGCAACATAGCACTATTTCTGATTCTACCGTAAAGACGGTTAGATTTATGTCGATTTTTTTAGCAGTAGATATACGATACACTCGTGTGTCTACAGATAACCCAGATCCAGTTGTCAATCCCTCCGTGAGTCATTATCAATTTCAAACCCACACTACTAATAATACCCAATAATAATTTTACGAAACTGAAATGTAAAGCCCCCAGCAGATAAACCTAGTAACAACTACATTTCTATTTAATTTGATCAATTTCAGGTTGTTTCACCGATTCGCAGTGTAATCATACTACCTACTCATAGATCTGTTTGTGATGAGGGTAAGTCCAGAAAAGAAAAGCCTACGTTTATCAATTTGATCTGCATCCCTGTTAGCTAAGATTTGTTAGGACGTTCGCAAGACCAACTTGTAGGATCAGTATAAACGAGTAAACTAAATAAATAAAAACATATATACTGAATCAATAGACACCGGAGATGATCGACCACAACAACAGAGAGTAAATATTTTAAGTTCAACCCAGAGGATGCGGTAACCATACAAGCCTGTCGGCACACCCAACCTAACCCTAATGCTGGCTTACTCTGTTGCCTATATGAACAATATGGATGCAATGTGCGTTCTTAACCGATCGTTTACTATATTCTTGCCGTTTTTGCCTCACTCGCCTTTGACTATAGCTCTTCTGATCGGTGTAAAGCTACAAGTTCCTTGCTGAAAATGGCGTTCTGCATTAATTCCGCGACCAACGGCTAGTCTCAGATATAGTCAGCTACAGCCGCAGTCTCTAAGTCGATCAGTTAATGTACGACTGTACACAACCGACGGCTGGCTGACTTCCTAGTGGTACCCCTGGGGGACTTAGGGCTGGTGTTGAACTTCATCGTCGAGAACTCATTATTTTGGGCGCGGGCAAGTAGACGGTCTGGTATTCCGGTACGATGTTGGTACCGCTTTCGATGGCATTTTAATTCGATATCATAGAGTTATTGGTCGATTCCCTACAGATCTATGAAGTGGCCAGTGCTTACGGCATATGGCCGTCAACCGTTGTTGATAGGCAACCATGTGAGGCTGGGTGCAAATCAAGCTACGGGCAATACATCACACCCCAGCCCATAGCTTTCTCACACAAACTACCTGGATGAAGCAAACAAACATCGGTAATATTAACGAATCTTAACTAAAACAACATAGTACAATTTTCGACCGACCTAAATCCATCTAGCCATAATACCTTTCTGAACTAACTCTAAAGAAACGCTGATGTATCTCGATATTTAAGACGACTCAATTTGAACGTAATCATCCATGCTTTCGGTACAAATATTATCACAGAGATATTCCTCAGTATTCCAAAAACTACTGTCCTTGTTAGCCGCTGTGTTTCGAGTTTTACGTCCGGTAGGGTCGCTAAGTTGTCCATCAGACAGACGTCTCGCTCTCTATGTCCGGGTTTGAGCCTAAATTTTCTTGTTCGCCTGATGAAAAAAATAAGCGTTGTAACTCTTCGTAAGCTTTTAGCCTCTTCGTTGTGTAGTACCGTAGTGAAAATCATTGGTTTCAACAATTTGGTTGTCACAACAAAACAAACCTTTCGGTCGTACCCGGTTTCGAACACAGAACAGCTCACTGGCGTCTAGGTTTAGTAGGCAGGAACGTTATCACTACACTGTCGTAGAGACCCATCTTTTACTAATGCTACCAGAAAACAAACGTTCCCGAAGATAGTCACGATTGTGAGCTAGTTCCGAAGTATACCTAGTACCAACACCAACTCGTACATTTTGCGAGACTAACAAAGATGAAAAAAGCCCACGTCGCTACGTGTTACCTCAATCAACTGCAGGTTAACTTGACTAATTGGTAATTCATCCCTTGAATCCATCGCTCACATCGACGAATCCGCTGACCGCTTGATCAGCCCCATTATTGGTTAATTTTTGCCACATTGGAACTCTTTCGCGAGTGACCGCTCCCAAGTCTTCTAAATTCAATAATGTTCGCTGTATCCGTAGGCGACTGATATCAACCAGGCAAACTTGATTCGGTAGCCATTTTTCTACGATCCCGGTTGCTACTGTTCTGTTCTGTGTCTTCCCCACTCCTAAAACCGCCCCAATAACGCCACTGCCTGCAAAGAAAGTTCAGAAACACACGTCAACTAGTTAGCTAACTGTTAATCAATCTATTGAGATGTCCTGACAGAGCGCTGTAAAAATACCCAGAGTAAACACAAAGCCAGCAATGGCTGTTCGCCCTTACCCGTTCATAAACATGCGAGACTTTTAGACAAATGTAATTGTTTCCGATTACAGACGTTACCCCGCAGCGATGGCCTTCCTGCTGTTCGTACGGTTGTTATTGTTGTTTTTTGCCTTAGGTTGTCTGCTGTAGCGAAGAGCACTGCCAGTACTGTAGCTTTCCTTGTTCATTCGAATGCTTGAGCCTTATAGGTCTGACTGTATATGGATCGGGCGCACAGATTATGCAATCCAATTGCGTAAAGCGGCAAGTTATTCGACTAACTAAAATATAGAGCTGACTGGAGTGTAGTGAGCTTTCGAAGTTCGTTTACAAACAATGTGCCTCAGACAATGCGCAGGAACCAGCGACAGACTTAGGACAGTTCAGTGCGGTAGACAGATGCAAGACCGTACACGGAAGGATATAAACGGAGGAGGGTGCAAGCATGCGCGACTAAGCATCCATCGAGTACAGAACCTTGTTCAGTAACGCACATGACGGGGCATTTTTGCCACTGAAATAATCAAATTTAAGTGCGGTTCTTCGATTACGAAGCACTTTGGCTTCGTACGGCAGAAGACGTATGTGTTACTAGGTCAGCAATGTCTGAACGTGAAACCAAGTCAGACATAGGTAGGCAGGTAGGTATGTAGCAGTCGTACAATTGTAAGGGTAGAGATGGATTTCTCTCGCACGTTCTCAGCTGGCCCCGTATTTCCACATGGCCAGTACTCAGTCATTTTGCCTCAAGATACCTGATTGAAAGTAAGGACAAACAAACTAATAAAGATTCCTTAGTATTTTCCTTATTACTATTGGCTGACACGCAACATCGAATTGGGCGATGTTCCGATAAAGCTGCTCGTGAGTTATGAATGAAGCTGATCGAGTGGTTAAGCTAGTAAGCTGCCTTATGTTGTTTACAGCTCGGTCTACAATGGATCGTGTTTTTTTTTGTAAATTCACTCGTCACTACCGACTTTTCTACTATCACCGCTGCGTTACAAGTCCTTAGCTAACCGGTAACTTTCGACTACTTTAATAGAAATACATATTCTACACAGGCAGCTCTTGGAGCACTTTAGGAAAACAAGGAGCGCCGGCACGTACATGGCCGACACACTAGTATATGATAATTACGTGTATAAAAATGTTATTATTCGATAATCTTTGCCGTAGTTATGGTGGTAGTTGTTTATATTTTCTCTGCCGTTTTTTTATCTGTGTCTTTATTTACAGAGCCATTAGTCTTTGTTTGTTCATCGTGTTGCCACATTTCATTGTGTTTCAATTAGGGAACTGCTTTCCTCCGTCAGCCAAATAGGGATATTCATCTCAGATGGTCATTCCGCACTACAACAGGTCGTATAAGCGCTGTTGTTTGACCCGAAAGAATGGCGGAGAATAGGCGATCCCGTCCAGCGGATCGTGTTGTCCACAACACAGGACCCAATCAAAATTGTGTTGTTTCTTTTCGGAACGTCAAAACGATATAAAAGCGTACCGAAATTGTGCGCCATCTGAGCACCCCGTAGAAATCACAAACGCACAAACTGTTAACGGCATCGTTGTTTTCCGTCAGTAGCAGACTCCACAACATCTAGCAATCGTGAGCGCGCTGCCGATAGTGGGAGAAAAACCTCTCAGGACTTGGAACGATGACAAGATTTTAACGATGTATATCAACAGATACTATCTCTGAAGTGTTAAAATGAAAGGCAATAGTAATTGCTTGTTCGTTGTTGGCTGCTGCCGCTGGCAGCCAAGCCTTGCGCGGTTCCACAAAGACAGAAACGGTCCTACCTGGTAAACAGAGAGAAAGAAGAATGCCTTCACAAAAAGCGTGTGTTACGCATAAACATAAACTCGCCTTTAGAATATGAATAGAAACATCTTGAGATTTGCCTACTATTGCTGGTCGGCTAATGCTGTGAATCGGGTCCACGTGCTGGTAATGTCTGGTGTGATGACGTGCAGTGGTAAAACAAACGGGGCAATATTCAAATCTCTAGGCAGCAACCTATTAACTGATTAACCAAACGAGCTATTGGCTGACATTCACAATACTAAAGAACGACTCAAATATAATCCATCTGAAGATGATGGTAAAAACAGGCTCACAGTAGACCGAATCAAACATGCTAGGAACATGAGGGATTTGCTAAGTTTCCTATGCAAAGTGTTTTCTAGAATAAAACAAGTTGAATTGTCCAACTTGGAAGTGTTCGACTAAAGTGGACGAAAAGTCCAGTCATGTAGGTGGAAGGGCTGAGCTAACCGTAATGTTCATTACGAACCTGTTACGTTTTATCTATCACTCCTCTGAACACGGTAACGAATAGCTGGCTTCTGTTTAGGCAGGAAAAAACCAATGTCTATAACAAAGAGTTATCACACAAAGTAAAGTCTTACCGATTTACGTTTATGTTTACGTTTCTATTGTTTTTTTCCAGTTCGTGGGACATTTCTCAGAATTTTATTACCTAAAGCTATGCTGGACATTCTAGATATGACGTTTCCCTTTGACTTAGGTTGCATCAGATGCACGGTGATTTTAGTCTATCGTCAACTTAGAAATCTTCAAATTCGAGGTCCATCACAATAGTGACACGTGGCTCAGAGAAACCTGCTCAACGCTGCCTTGGTTCAAGAGTCGGAAGTGGTGGTTCTGATGGAAAAACAGATGGGTGTTTGTGGGCTGACCGTCCCGAAACACATTTTTGCCTACTGAAATGTTACTTGTATACAACCCAATTGGCACCGCCTTGTGTGGAGTGCAGTTCGAGCATAAAAATGTGACAATTAAGCTTTGGCTGAACGGTATTGGTCTAATTGATTGGAGGGTGCCAAAGCAAACTCATGGGAGTATCATTCGCCGATAGAAATCCACAAAGTGCTTATATATATATATGTACATATATTCTAGTGTAGATGTTCTCCATCTGTGAAATTACAACGCCTCCATTGCTATACACACGTAATTATTCTGTTATTCCGCAAACGAAACGTTTAGGATGTACAATTATTTTGAAAGTGTTTTCACCCACTTAATCGCACTTTCCTCTTTTGCTAATTTCTGCGACATAATTAACCCGTCCGCTCGACGCGTGCTGTTGCTCCGACCCAGTTCTTGCTCTGGGCGGCCACGGTAGCATTACAGACAGCTGTTCGCTGTCTGTAATGCTACCGTGGCCGCTGTCGTACCTACCGCTGTCGTAAAGTCTAAATTTAACGCAACACCCACGCAGTGTGCTTATTGGCGTTCCTCGTTTAACGTGGTCACAAAATTCGTCCTCAGATACATCGAAACAAAGTAAGACGTTTGTCGCGCAACAGGTAATTCTCTACGCCTTATATGGCCGTTGACAAAGCACTCGGAAGTTGCGGCAGATTTCCTTAATAATACGCTTTGTACGTTCAGAATTAACGCATGTTAGATCCGGTCGGAGAGAACTGCCTACAACACCGATCAGACAACAGCCTAATCTGGCTTCGGTTTAAGCGAAAACAAACCGCATGCGTGTATTCCCGGCGCCGAATAGAGATGCAAGCCGTCGGCAATACAAATGATAGAGAAGAGACAACTGTCTACTGGGCTATAGCGATTCAACCACCATCACGATATGATTGCAGGCCAAATGCGCCCGCTAAGGTGGGACCCTTTAGACTGATGTGGACTCATCGATGAAATAGGCACTTTACGATTTGCGCCTGTTCTCTCTTTTTCTGATAGATCTTTTGTCCACGTTAGATTTGCGTCGCGAAGCTTATTTCGTTGGGTCTTCCATTAAAGAGCCGGCTGTGCCAAGTGACGCTTAAAAACGATTTGAAGGTGTTAGCAGCTCGTCTGGAAAGCCTGAGTCGATGAGGTTTTCAAGTAGCTAGGCCGTCGCCTAATTGCCAACTGCTACATCTAAACGGTACTTATTATGAAGATATAACAGCGGGTAACTAACAAATACAGGATCAGAATATAGCAACTCCGCCTAAAAAAGAGCTCATGTCGCTAAGTAACTAACTTAAACAAAAATATCACTAAATATTTTCCAAAAACATCTATGTAAACATTCTATGCCTACTACTTGTTACGAGAAATTTACATTCACCGCCAGCAACCTGCACATATGCACACGGCAATTTCAACGTCACACTCCCCATCGTACGGGCCTAGAAACAGGTGATACAAATTACAACGGGCTTTCTGGCCGGCGGGAATTGATTGTAGTCAAATAAGGTCCTCGACTACGGCCTAGACTAGAAAATAAGGTTAGTTTAATTAGTGATTTTACTTAGTTACACCTACAAGCTGGCGGCTAGAAACTAAATTATGGTTTTCAGAGAGCTTAGTAAGCTAAGCGTGATTTAGTACCCACGCTCACTTCCCTATGGAATAGATTGCCGGCTCCAGGGTATCGTGACCACCGACCAACGTGTAAATTGCTCTTTAGTCAGGAAGCGTAAAGGGACGATGCAGTCTATAAGCCAGCTATTGCGCATACATAGAGATATGGCTCTATTGATTTAGTCCCTTGGGAGGACACTCTGGATGAGTCAAGCCATTAAATAACTCTTCAGCCTTCGTTCGAAGCATAGGGCCACTACTGCTGTTGGGCCCGTGGTGACGCTCGGATGCAGTTGACTTCACGCGGCATAGACGATAGGCTACGAATGCTGTTAGTGTTATTGTTACAAATACTGCCAAGGAACGAAAAAACTTGCCCAATGCACAAGTAGCATTACTTGCGCAACTACAATGTCTGCGTGCAAAATTTGCACGCAGACATTGAAGTTGTGCTTTGAAAAAGTGCTGCTTTTGGACTAATCACCAGCTAATCCAGGTCACGTCGAAAGTGAACTCGTTGCTTTTGGCTTTAAATCACATGTTTCTAAATAAGCCAGAGGCCGTCAGACCTGCGCACTTCACTATTTTTGTAGTCGTAGTGGTGTCCTAGAAGGCTCCAGAGCCGAAAGTTATCAGTCACTCCAGTTATTTAAGTTGCAGCTAAGAAAATTTATATGTAGGTCCACTTTCAGGTGACTGAGTGATTTTATCCGAATTAACCACGTAATGAACCAAATATTCGTTTCGTTTTGCCCTGGGTGGTTGAAGTCAGCGAATCTTACGACCCAACGACAGTATATTTCCTCTTCCACTAGCAATAGGTAGGTCTTTCGGCATCCATCTCAGCATAACCTAACCTAGGCGACCTAACATAAGGCGTAATGATCACATTTTTTTACTGTACTGTATATATTAATATTTTAGATTGCATTGACAACAAATGACACTGGACATTCGCGAAGGACTCACATTTACGCCATCACACATGTGCGTTTCTTTCGCCGCTTTTTTGTCGGTTCCCGCTTCCTAAAAGTAGGCGCCGACGTTGTAGGCTCAACAATAGGATTGGTAATGTTGGATTTAATGTATTCGTCAAGTGGGCATTTGAGCCGGCTATTGAGTACAAGAGAATTCGACGGGTGAGTGTAGTTGGTAGTAGACGAATTTATATCTGATTGTAACCAAATGTCAGTCGAACCCCAAGAGCTTGGGTAGGTGTCGGCCGCCAGTGGCTCGGGGGTCTCCAACAGCAGCTCCAAATCATGTTCGGCATCTAGATCAGTTTTAAATGGATAAACCGGATCATCTGGCCGTAAAAGCATACGCCAGTTGATGGAGGCAAACATCAGTAAACTTTTCTGATCTTCCATGGGTATGCTCGCACACTCCTTTAGCTCGAGGTACTTTCTTTCTTTGGTTTTGATTCTAATTTTTTTTGAAACTTTTTTTTGCATCACTAGCTCCTGCACACGAGCAGTGTCAAAATAACTTTCGTCGAGCGTCTTATCGGCGTTGTAATAGTCGAACAGCTGATGCTGAATCAACTCATCGTAATTTTCCGAGCCGAGACGGGCGTGCGGGTTCTTGATCAACAGGCGAGCAATGAAATCCTTTTCAAATGTGCCGACAAAATCGGGAATACATATAGGGTGTTTTCGAATAGATTCTCTAAGTTTAGAACGTTCCTTCTCACGGTATGGCATCTTGCCAGTGACCAACCTATACGCCGTTACCCCAATAGCCCACCAGTCAACGGCGCGACCGTAGGGCTTGTGGTTAATGATTTCCGGTGGCATAAAGGCCAGCGTACCAGCATAGTCCCTGTCCTCGAATTCGACCGCGGTTCGTGCAAAGTAACCGGTTAGCGGGTACGTGTCTACGAAATGAGCAATACATATCTTGCATGTATCAAAATCGATTAGCTTAATATGGCCACCCGGCAGGAGGAGCGCGTTTTGTGGCTTAATATCACGATGTATAAAGCCGTGCGCATGAATGTGGGAAACCGCCTTTACCATCTGATTGAGAATAATACAGTATTGATCCGGGTATTGTATGATCTCACCCATTGCTTGCACATATTTAAGGACATCAATACCACCCACGTATTCCATTACAGTGACGTACGCTGCCGTTGTGAGGAACGAAGCATGATACTGAACGATTTTCGGATGCTCCGACACCGATGCGACAATTTTGTCGAGTGCCGCGTATGAAAGCCGTTTCAGGCGGCTCGTGATAATGAGCTTTACGCAGACTCTTACGTCAGTGGGTATATGGATAGCTTCGTAAACAACACCGAATCCTCCGCCACCAAGCGTTCGAACGCACCGAAAATCCTGTATCTTTGGAATATATTCAAGTGGGCTGAAAGCCGATCGGATTCGAAAGCTTCGAAGTTGTGCTTCGCACAGCTTTACGCATTCCCCCCAGTTTGTTGACGGAAGACCAGCAGTGTACTCTAGCAAGTTGCACGTATCGCCAATGGCAGCGATGAAGACTCGTAGGCACTTCATCGCCATAACAGCGCCCTCTAGTGAATATCGACTCTGATAGAGCTTAAAGGACGCTACAATATTCTCGATGTGCTCCTTCACGTCATCCCTCGACAGAACCAAAGCGTTAAGCCGTTTGAGTACATCATGGCCAAGTCGAACAGACTGTTCTTTCGCATAGGTTTCGAGCGGTGTGTAATCAAGACTAATGAGGCTGTGGTTTCGTATGAGGGTCTCAAGTAAGCTCTTCGTCGTTTGAATAGCTTGAGAATACTGGTTGTTGACCACTTCGCATACTGGCGACGGCCCTGTCGATGTCGCTAAGGGAACTCTACACGCACGAGAACTCACGATGTATCCCATGGAATCATTAATCGTACCGTTGCTCTTGACTAACCAGACTAGAAATCCCGGACCACGAACCTGCCGCCATACACGCGACTTCGAACACAACACTGGTGCGTGTGGTCTGCAATTGAGTTAAGGGTTACTCCGTTGTCGTCAAGCGAAGAACATTACTTCTCGCTAACCTGCGATGGCCAGTCGGGTTACATTTCTGCCGAAGGATATCCATCCTGTCTTCGCTACCTTCTCTACGACGGCAATGACAGAATAAATTTACACAAGATTGTGTGTGCGACCACTGTAAGCAGAGCTAATTTGACCACTAAACTATAGGTGCAATACATATACGTGATGGACAGCCACTTCGTAGCAAGAACTATGTGCGGAATATCGTCGACGTATCCTGATTCATTGTGTTCTAGCAGTAGCAAGCGGGTTCTACAATCCAAGACTGATAATCAACTAGCATGCTTAGTTTGCCTAAGCCACATGGCTTAATGTTTTTCTCTAACTTGTTTTTTATACAGTTACGTTCTTCCTGTAGACCAACTTATCTTATAAGTACGACCTTCTGGGAAGCACACCTATCACCACAGTGATAAACTTCTCAAACTTCGTTGTTCTTGATGTACGGGGTAAACTGGAGCTCCGTCATCAAAACATCTTGGTACGGATAAAGCTATTCGTTGAACCTTGGAGTCGAATATTTTAGGTTTGTTGAATCCAAAACACGTACCCACCACTTAGAGTATTTAGCACTGTATCAAACTTTTTTTTTTACTTTTGAAAAGGACACGTTTAAGAAACATATTGGATCGTTTTTTTTTTTTTTTTCTTTTTTTTTTAGTTTCTCACGAAGATTTGATACGAAGTGCCGATTGAATCTGCCTAAGTGTCATCATCAGTGCTAACCAGATTTTCAAGTTCCTGCTGTTGTTAGATTGTTGCACCTTTCATCTGCCAAGTGTGTACAACGTACGTATTGAGAGTTTTCATTTATCCAATAGCTGAATGGGGTATGACGTCCAGATGTTCGCTTCCGTATCCATACTAATTAGCTGATAAAAAAAACGTTTATCGACGAATACCGGCGATTATCGGGAGATTCGCTCGCAGAATGAAGGCTCTCTTAACCAGGCTAACTTACGATTAAATACTCACAAAAGCAGTACGAGTCATGTGGCTGTTACGACGATGGAAGGTTTCGCTTGCCCCTAACTCCTATTAACAAATGTGAGCGGTCTTAGCGGGAAGATCGCCGCTTGTAGCGACTCACCGACCTTTTACGTGTTGAAGACTTGAACGCATTGATCGCGAGATGAACCATGATCGACTCCAATGAAAGTCTACCAACACGGCGGACTGAAGCTTCTGGCCGTCAGAGAACCGTAACGAAGTTAACTCTTGGACAAGTGGACGAGCGATGAAGTCGAGTCGCTTATCTCGCTAGTCAAATACGTACATCGCGGAATATTAACATGCGGCGTCTTCTGAGTGATGGCTAATAGGCAGTGCTAACACTCCAGGCGGCATGACCGAGGCTAAGGACAAATTATCTTCACAACAACAATAACTGTTAGTAGTACACGGTTCACTACGCTATTGGCCACTTCGGGAGCGGCCGTGCGCGCCCGTCTTTACGGTAACAGCGTTTGTTTCAGCGCTCAGCTTCAACGACATCCTCATCGGAACGATTATGTTCATTTAATGCTAATGATGATCGCTCGAACTTTGCGGATTCTGACTTCTACCGACTGCGTAACTATGGTTGAATAATCGTCAATGGCCTGCGCGTCGCTTTGAACAAAGAAAATCTGTGAAACTCAAAACAATGACCAGTACGGATCGTTGTTGTGAGCATTAAATATACGATGGTGAGCTTAAACCGGTTGCGTTCAGACGAATCGTTGCTTGCCAGCCATGGCACTATTGTACCTAGGTTTGTCTAGTAGCAAAGATTGACGTATAAAAGAGTCAAATATCACTTTTATATGTCGCCTTATATATACATATTACAAAAAAATCATACCCTGACCTATACGTATTTGTTGTCGCACCTTTGACGGATTACCGCTAGACTATTGCGTATACAACTTAATTTCACGATGAATAACTAACCAAAATTGGCTAACTTCTATCGCAGTGATTACCATAGGCCTGACAAATTGTTTTCACAAAACCCAGCAGTCCCCCCATTACGTCGTTGATTACTAACTGACTGGTTCTATCTTGTCCTGCAATAAAATGCTTGAAAAAGTTCGATTCAAAGTTGATCAAGAGGTCGACTAAACAGACGCAATTTTCACTGACGAACCGTCACGAGATGATTTATTCGACCCTTCTCAAAGTCCACCCGTAAATCGTTCCTCGATAAGACAGCAACAACATCTGAGGACCGTTGTGGTTACTGGTGAGACGGCCGCAATGAAGCTGGGGTTGCTTGTCGGGGGAGCTACTTCTCCAACTCTATTTTCGATATCCTACTCTTGAAGACCATCATCCGTGATCTTTTCGTTTCTCAATCAATTCGACACCTTGAAGCTGTAGTAGTATCAATCCGGTAGCCGATAGGTGTCACCTGAAGCCTGTTGTTTGAAGGCAGATTGCTATCATACTGTCCTGACGTATCATGTGTATCGGCTGAAGCGTCTAACCGACGTCATTTTAGCCTGTAATTGTGATTCGACAACCGCAAGAAGTTTCTTGCTCTATTGAGCCTATAGTGCGATTGCTTAAGTTGGACACCAACCCATCGCTTTTGACCAACACGTGAAACGGTAGCAGTCGGCGTGCTTCGATAAATTTTGGCGGACACTGAAAGATACTCGTTCGACTACGTTTAGCGTCAGAAATCGGTCCCATAAATGCCAGGGTTGGTATCGAATAGTATAGCTGACGTTCAGATACATACATATATGCACGCGGGCCAAAAGCGGAAGGCTTCGAAGCGGCTTTTTGCATTGGCGAGACAGCCTGAAAACCTCCGATCAAAGTACGCTAATAACAACGACAACAAGTAGAGGGGGGTAAACAGCAGCATAAAGGGACAATAGAAATATCTACTCGGTCTAAAGGGAGACGGGTCGACTGTCAGTTACGGACCCGCAGACGGTCCTGAACATTCGCGCGTTTGATGAATCAAAGCGATATTCGTTCAATTATATTCGAAGACTGTTGAAGTCTACAGGCTCGCCTATGCAAAAGAAAGGCGCTATCATATTCAAATATCTACAACACAATTAGATCCAAGTACCACCTAAAAGACAAGTTTCTGCCAAAAATACCGCTAAAATGGTAAAAGCTTCCGATCGTACGAACAAACGATGTTTGTATACCATAAAAACATAAAAAAAAATGCTAAGGTAGTCTGTTGCTTTCGAGCAGTCCTTTAGCAAAATCTATTGATTTATTCTGCGTTATCTGCCCAATACAGAAATATATCAATGATTACAGCTAAATCATTTAAAACAGCCTCACGAATAGGACGCTCCCAGATCGACAAAAGTAAAAAGTCCGTGTGATCGACTATGATGCCTGCAATGATGTGGCGTCCATGCTCGAACCAGATGATGCGCTCGCTCTGTTCACCTCAATCCAGGCGGCGATGTCCTTGAAACTTCACCCCGCTCATCACGGAGCCCCACACCCCTTTGAATTCTGTAATGTCACCGAGTGCGCCGCTGTTTTAACAAGTCACCTGCAATTCGAGACGAGTTCGGATAAGCGCATAAATGTATATATGTCGTTAACTATATGAACATGGTAACGAAAATAGCCCGAGCAGCGTCATAGTGCGACGTAGTGCGAGTACACAAACCTTGCCCCCAAACGATTTGGTCCGTTACGGTATGCAGAAATTGCAAGACCTGACCAGGTGTACTTCACGAACATCACGAGCTTAGCGAACTACGCGAGTTTAAATAACGAAAAAAGTATTTCGAAGTCAGAACCATCGAGGAGTTCCTTCGTCCATAATTATCATTTTAAAGTAACGTAAAATAAATGGCATATCTTTCAAAATCAACAGACGTCGACAAGCTAAGCAGCTATAGGGCATTCATAGGGTAAATCTACGATAAGTCGCGTCTATAGGTGATGCTTTTAAGCGGACTCGGTTATAGTTCCCAGAAAAGGCACGGTAGCCACATTCGTCGAAGCTGCAGCTTCTCGCATTCTGGTCTGGTATAGTGGCTTCATCATAGTGATACACGCAAGAACAACAGAATAGACTCAAGCGTCAAAGGGTTCACAGCAGTGCGCCTACCTCGGCATTCTGCCGAAAAAAATAGCTGGGGCCTGACACCGCTCGAACCACATCAGATTAGCTATAACGCTACGACTCTTCTATACCGCCGCTGGTTCTGCGGCGGCTCTAAATATGACCACCAGATGCATTGCATACTAAGTACGTAAGCGGCGCATCGTTATGTTCCGCTAGCAATGTACAGACTCGCCAGAGGACGCTCCGTTCAGGTCAACTGTACCTACTAGAACAGGACCCTTCCCCATTCACATACAAGACAAAGCGATGAACTAATTGGTGATTTACAGGAAAACAAATCCCTATCTTAGTTCTTGTGACGATGGTGCGCCGGGCGTTACCGCCCCAATCGTGTCTAGTCATCTTGCTAAACAGATCGACACGATACGATTGACGGCATTGCTAGCAGTATTAGAAGGAGACAGAGTGGAAAATGCCATGATAGTTGTCCTAGTGTTGGATAATATCTCTGAGACGGACAAAGCACAACTTTAAGTCGCGGATGGTGGAAGGCAACGCGTCAGCCGGTAGGAAAAATAGGACAAATTAAAAAGTCTCAGTGGTAGTTTAACATTAACGCCCTAACCTATTATAAAAATACGCAAATTGATTTAGAGTCGAAACCGCGAGTAAATATACTGTGCTTCAAAATGAAGGACGGCGGCCGTCTGAAGCCTTGTTCCTAAGGCAGTTGCGGGCACAAAATTCAAATTACCTATTTTCAGGAAATAACCCAAAAGTAGATGAGAGGACCAGAATATCATTAAATAGCCGGGTAGTCCCAGTTTACAGGGAGTACAATTCACAAAGAAAGAAAAAAAAGAATCATAAACGAAATTGAATATGTAACAATTGAGAACTTTTTAAAAATTGATTTAAAGTAGATTTCTTTGATTTTCTTCGATATCCTGCTATGCTTTTAATTATGTTTCCACGTTATCTCAGTCCTAATAATTACCCAAGGAGCCCCGTAAATCAATACGATTTTGCTTCACATTCAGTAACAACTGTATCCTTGAATCATACAATAGATCAATATATCCCCTTGGCAATTTTTCCGATCACATCATCGTTCCCACATAGCGTGTAATTGGACGAAAAATATTGTTCGCTCTTA